CATACACACGNTTTCGATGCGTGCCCTGTCAGCTGCTTGCGTTGCATGTCGCCTTGCTCCACCCTTGTTTTATTGCTTTCTCTGCTTTCGCCCGGTTCCCGTCCCGTTTCGGCGGGGAGTCTATGTTGCAAGTTAGTTCTTGCTTTACCAGACTTTAAGCCCACACAAGCAAGGGCAGGCAGTACTGCATGTCGTGGCTTCCGTCAATTCAGGTATGGCAACCCCCTCGTCAGCAGTCAAGTCGCAGGGGGCACCGGCCGCCGCGAGAACGCGGCTAACCTGCGCTGCCCAGGGCTGCCGGGCCAGTGGCAGCCCTGTGTCCGTGTCGGCAGCCAGCGCAACGCTATCCAGCATGGCAAGACGGGCGACCCGCTCGCCGCCCATAGCCTGCAGGTTGCTCACAAAGCGTGCAACCTCGCTGCGGCGCCCAGATCTCTGCCCCGTACGACAGCGTCGGCAGGACGTAGGACTTGAACGCACGCACGCATGAGCAGGGGGTCCTGCGACCCATTCTCGGCCAGGCGGCGGCGCAGCAGGTGCATCGCGCGCCGCCCAGCCTCCGCCCAAAACGATGCCGCCGAGGCAAAGGCCTGCCGGCAGTGCAGGTGCACGCCGAGGCATCTGAAGGTGGGGACGGTTTCCACCTCATTGCCGCCGTAGCGGAACCGCTCCTCCGTGGCAGCAGCCCCGCCAGTGGTGTACACTACCACCTGGGTCTTTTTGGTGTTGACCGTGAGGCCCCAGGCGGCACAGTAGCTCTCAAGGTAACCGAGCTGGAAACGCAGGCTTGCCGGCGTGGTGGCCAGCAAGGCCTGGTCATCAGCGTAAAATAATGGCGGCACGCACTCCCCGCTCTGCCAGCGAGGCAGAGCCGCGGCCGCAGCCTGTTGCACCCGAAGCAACATGGCGCTCCAGGAGCGCTTCCATCGATTCAGGTATGGCACCCCCCTCGTCAGCAGTCAAGTCGCAGGGGGCGCCGGCTGCCGCGAGAACGCGGCTAGCAAGAACGCGAGAACGCTGCCACGAGTCCCGCTTCCCAGCCTCCTGCCTTTGCACGGTCCTCCAGAAGCCAGGCAGCCAAACCGCCAGCTATGATGG